TGAAAATAATTTATATGAGTCTATGGCATAACAAGTGATACACTGAATAATATGTATATGATTCCAGATTCCATACTGCTCCACAGCAAAGATTAGACTTGCTGACATACCATACTACTTTACAGGCATGTATAATATTAACACACATACTAAGAGAAAATACAATCTTGTTGGGGATATGAACATAAATGTATTTTTACCAAAGTATAGTCAATTTAATGTAAGAAGTAACTATGCACCCACTAAAGAATATGTTCTATAAAACTTACTATTTGTTAGAACTAAGTTTCTCTGGTATTTCATTATAAAGAAAATGGCTGGAAGCTCTAACCTTATGGAGGAATGATTTTGAGCAACATAAGAACAAATTTGATGAATTTTACCCTACTGTCCTTACTTTAGACTTCCCCAATGACATGCTCAGTAGACAAAGATCTGCTTTGGATTAAGGTAGAGCAGAAAGACTTTGGTTATGATCCATTTAGGGCATTTTATAATACAGTAATTTTCTATTCTGGTTGCCTATTACAATCACCAGGGAAGCTTTCTAAACACTGCCTCATGGGTAATTTCCCCAAAGATAGAAATTTAATTAGTATCATGATTTTTAAGAGATCCCAGGGTGCTTATCATGTTCAGTCAAGGTTGAGAATCTTGGCCATAGTGAGTGTTCAGGCAAGAGTTCTGAGTAGAGTAAAGGACTGCATGCATATTCTTAGATTTAACAGAATAATTGTTAGTTCAAGATATGCTTTGTCAAGGAAAGAATATATAGTCATGCTGTTATTCTTCATTGTGATTTTTATATGTGATGAACATGTAAGTAATATATTTTATTAAAACTTTTTGTGTGGTCAAAGCTCATAAATTAGTATTAATCTAAATTAATGTATTTTATGTAACTCAAGTGATCTGGTCAAACACTCAAAATATGGTATCACTTGTCAGTAAATTCTTAGAAGCAAATGTTCATTTGTTAACTTTCTTTGGGTTGAAGTTTTTTCAGATGCTTCACAAAGTATTACTGACTTCATCTGCAATCAGAGATAGGCTATTGACATGGTAGCCTGAAAAAACAAAACAGAGAACAGACAAAGCCCCCAGTACTGCAGATTATTTTGTTTATATCACTTATTTTCTTTGAAATAAACTTCTTTATCTAAAGGCGCAATGTATAAGGTATATAATGCAACATAATTTATTTTCTCTTGTTTTTATATGATAACTGTCATGAAAAGCTAGCTAAACTAATTGACATAGTACAGCTTAACTTTATTTTAAAATTTTGCAATTTTAGTAATTGCAGACAATAATACAATCATTACCACTGCACTAAGACAAGAGACTGAGAGGCTTAGAGAGCACAGCACAATGTGACTGCTTCATTCATAAATAATGTAACAAGAAATTTATTCATGATGTCAACTGGGATGTGTGAATGTACTTATAAATATTTGACCATATATATTTATCAAAAACACACAAATGGCACCTATTTGTCATTAAGTCTTGTGTTTCTACTCAACTCATAAGAATAAAACACAACTGAAGTAGATGATCCACACAAAAATATTTGTTCTTCTTTTTTCCTATTTGCCTATTGTACTGACAATTTTCATCAGTTTGTGTGTTTCGTTTTCGCCCCTCTGAACAGCTCTGAGCAATGCCAGTGTGTCTGAGCTTGGAAGTGAGGTACAATTTTGAATGCATACTAAAGCCACAAAGGAAAATTTCACTCAAAACAAAAACCAGAGAAAGGCAGGGCAACACCATGAGACATTTCCAAGCTTCTCCAGGTATTGGTTCTCTGGGAACTATTCAATTCATTTCCTATAACCTGTTTTTAAGCAGAAGACTTCCACCCATAAGAAAGCTGAAATTAAATTGCAATGGTCATGACTAAAATGTAAGAAACTAGGAAATGAAATAGGTAGAACAATATCTTTGAGTGTGTGACTACCCACTTATCAAAATAGTAGAATACTTTGTTGCTATGGTGAAAGAGTTGCAGAATGGACATTTTGAGATTAACTCGGCAGGCTTAGGGACCAGTCAATGCCAGCAAGCAGTGGCTCCATGCAAGTCACTGGACCTGATGTTGATTTCACAAACACCTTAGAGAGGATGGAACATGTGATGAATACTCAACTCTTGTTTGCCCACCTGCTCACTTCCTCACATCTCCTCCTTAAGTAATAGGCAAACCACTTACTTTCAGTCTTTGTTTAATGCTGTTAGGCAGCTCTGGCCTCACCATGGAATTGAATTTCCATTGAATTGACTGTGGACTTATTCTGAAATATAAAAGAAAATCATTTTAACATTGTTTTCTTGCTTGAATTTCATTTTCTAGTAAAATGTGTTAAACTTTGGTTTATTATCATTTTCAATCAATTACAAAATTATCACTAAAATAATTTGATGAGTAAGGAAAAGCTGTAATGGAGAAAATTAATAAATCTTCCTTTCTGTTCCTTTTTCTGTCTCATTCCTATCCTGATTTTAATGTACTCATATCCTTCTCTTATCACCAAACATTTCCTTTACCAATTTATGTTCTACTTAATACTTCACATTTCATGGTTGCCCACAGGCAGAGTGACACAGGTTACAGGAAATGAAAGTGGCTTTGAGTGTTAGCTCTGGTCAGGGACAGAAGACATCCACTGGCATTGTATAGGCCAGTCTGGAGCTTAGTCCCTCCTAGGAGACTTGTGAAAGTGGCTTTGAGTGTTAGCTCTGGTCAGGGACAGAAGACATCCACTAGCATTGTATAGGCCAGTCTGGAACTGAGTCCCTCCTAGGAGACTTAGAAATATCGAAACTACTGGCTTTAATGCTCCAACATCTTAAACTGAGGTCTATGGTTAGTCTATGATAATTCCAATACAGTTAGAAAGGGTATAAAATATAAAAGATGCAGAACAATAAAAATCATGAAGTAAGTTTTATTCAAAAATTTTCAATTAGCACACCTACATATATGCTAATTATTCAGTTTAATTATATATCTTTGGCCAGTTTACCTATCTTAGAACAAGCGCACAAGGAATAAAAAGATAAATACAATTATAGCAATTTCAGTAATTATACATTTTATAGAAAAAATATTCTTTTCACATTATTTCCTTGGTAACAACACTAAGACCAAATAATAAAGGCTAACATGAACATTTCCTTGTAAGAGGCATAAATGGAATTATTTTCCAAAATTACTATTGATTACCTCAAACCATTTTTCTATAAAGGTCATTTTAAATTGGCCATGCTCATTATTCAAGAGCCTATTATTCTGATTTGAATTGAAATGGGCATTTCTTATTATAGCCTATATAGAATGATACGTTATGTATTATTATAATTTCAACATCTGCATTTATGGAATACTGAAAAATAATATGAGTGACTCTGAGGCATTTTAACTGTATCAACGAACTCAAATTTTGCTTCCCAAAAACTTTAAGCAAAATTTTCCACTCACATATAACAATTTACAACTTATTAGAAATGTGAAAATAAAGCCAAATGAAAACAAAACCAAAGACTTCCTCTCTTGGCTCCTCTTTACAAGAGAAGTAATCAGACATAGACTGAAAAGTACTACTCATAGCCATGTTTTATTAAATGAGAAAACATTTTAAGTCTTTGCTGATGAATGCCATTATGAAGCACTGGTTGGTATCCTAACGCAGAACTTGTTAGGAAAATATCAGTTGACATGTTACTAGTGAGCAGATATGTGGGGGATGCTGGTAGCTGGTACATACTTTTGAAAAAACTGCAAAATGACCATTCATGCTCATCTTCCTTGAAGTCAAAACCACCATCCCTGACACTCAACCATTCCAAATTGTCCTATTTTACCATTTTTTTTGTCCCAAGGGCCAGAATTTCAGAAAACCTCTTAATTTATGGTATAGTAACTGTTCTTTCTATTCCATTATTTATCAAATACGAAAAATTATGAAAAAGCACTGAAAATTCCAGGAATAGGGAATTGAGGCTGAGGAAGAAGGCTTAATGTTACAGACTTGGATTTGAAATTAAATTATGCATATGAGTGAAAATTTTGAATTAAAACAAACACAAGATTAATAGTTGTATTTAAAGAATAATTTCTCCAGGACATTTTAATAATGTATTTCCATCCTTTACAGTTACCATATGTTTCTCCTTTTAAGGTTTCATCTTAGTTTGCTTTCTATTTCCATGATAAAATACAGAACAAAAACAATTTAGGAAGGAAAGGTTTGATTTGGCTTATGGATTACTCTATCATCAGGTAAAGCCAAAAAAGAAACCTGGAAGCAAGAACTGAAGCAGAGACCATGGAGGAACTTTGCTTATTGGCTTGCTCCATATTCCCTATGACTTGAGTAGTCGCCTTTCTCATACAACTTTGGATCATCTGCCCAGGGGTGGCACTAGCTTGGATGAATTGGGACCAATCACATCAATCATTAGGCAAGAAAATGACAGACTTGCTACCATCTGATAGAGGCATTTCTCTCAATTGAATTTTCTCTTCTCACAGGACTATAGGCTGTATTAAGCTAACAACAACAAAAATAATTAAGTTGGATAAGTTGCTACAACTTCTCAGCATGTAAGTTTCTTAGGGTAAACGAGATTTGCAGTTTTACAAATGTTCTGTTCTTTTATTCCTTATTTTGAATTCTCCCTGTCCCTACCTCCTTGTCTCCCTCCCTCCCTCTCCTTTCTCCCTACTTGCCCCTTTCTCTTCTGTTTTTCTCCTAGACATAATGAAACACCTTGGCAAGTAATCTAGTATTGAGTGGTATTGTTTCTCTCTATACTCAAGAGATGATCTTCTATAGCAACACTTGTGATTTTTAATGAACAAATGTTAAGCATTAAGCAAAAGCAAAAGCAAAAGCAAAAATAGCAAAGGGCATATAGACAGAAGCATCTAGTAGATAATACACATAATTGTCAATGATTGAAAAGGCACTCATGACAAACACAAGTGGAATTAGTCTAATTGATTGTGCCAACAAAGGCAACATTGTCAACCTGAACAGCCAGCAAAAACTGACCATGGAAGCAATGTTGAGTCAGTTAGCTACAATTATCAGTTGAGAGCTTCCTGTATGTTGAGGAGCTCCTCAGTTCTTCCCACTGTAGGCATTTGTGTGGTGTGGGATAAACAATAGAGAAGCCTGTTGGAAATGGTTTACAGGTTTACTTTCTCCCTGTTCTCTAAGACACTATGCTTTCCAGACTCCCTGAACGAGGAGGTCAGTTTGGAGGTCTGGGAAATCTATGAGGCCACTGGTAGTGGATCAGTATTTACCCCTAGTACACAAATGGACTTTGGGAGCCCACTCCACATGGAGGTTTACTCTCTTAGCCTAGACACATGGGGAGGGTCTAGACCCTACAAATGATAAGACAGACTTTTAAGATCCCCCATGGAAGGCCTCACCCTTGCTGGGGAGTAGAAAGGGGTTGGGATAGGGGGTCTGTGGGAGACCAGAGGAGGAGGGGAGACGGGTGGGAGAGGGAACTGGGATTGACATGTAAAAAAAGATTGTTTCTAACTTAAATGAAAATGAACAAAAATAAAAAAGACACTATCTTTTCAATACACTTTGCTGATTGCTTGTTTTCTTTCTCCCTGGCAACCAGAGGACCATTAACTAGAGCTGGGTCTTTTCTTTTCATTAAGTGGGACCCAAGGACTGAACCTAGGTCCTCAAGCTTGACAGCAATTGCCTAGACAGGCTGAGCCAGTTCTCTTCTCATGGCACAAAAATTTGATTATCTTGTTTTTCTTACCCTTCAGTTCCCTTTCTTCCCTTTCCTGTTACGCCCCCTAGTGTCCTACCACCAGTAACCTTCCTTCTGCTTTGCACATGTGACCTGTTGCCTTCTCCTAGTTTTCTTCTCTGCATCTCTTCTTCCCTTGCCCTTACACTGACAAAACTAACCACAAATTCCTTTCACAATGTAAAGGTAAACTGCATATTGGACAGATGCTTCAGAAAAGGGAATGTTATACTTTCCATTGGCCACTGGAGTATCACTTGACTTCCTAAGTAACCGTTTTATGAAGCATTGTAACGTATGAAAACATCTATTGTCCTAACAAGGAGAACTCAATAGAAGTTTTTCAGCAACAGATCTGAAATCAGAAAGTCTATTTCTAACCTGTGTTCTGCTCACTTGTAAATGGACAGGATGTTCTCATCACGACAATCTTCTTTTGCAACTTTGTTTCCCTACACTTGCAGCTCTAACTATAGAGTAATCTCATGCACCTATTAATAGAGGGGTTTTGAAGTTGAGTATTTTGGTGCCACCTTCTGGCATGAATTATTGTGTAAACTATTTTAAAATATAATGAAGGCTCTGATGTTTAAATAATAAGTTAAATTAGACCTTTTTATGTTTTTTCAGTGTCCAAATTTCTGCTTTAATAGTAACTTTCTTGATCTGAAGTCAATATGGGGTAGAAAATGTGAAACTAACAGGACCATACTGTTTAATTTCAGTTCAATACTCAGTAATGCAGTAAATCTGCATTAAAAACAGAAGCTAGTGACAGGTTAGGGATGCTTAAATTTTAAATTATTTTACTATAAATTTTATTAGAAATATTACTAATTAATGTAGAATATAATTACTCTAGGCTGCAATGTGCTTTGGATTTATTGCATTTGACCTTTAATTTTAGTCTCCACAAACTCTCTCATGAAACTTTCTCAGGTCATTTCTGTTTTATTAGAATGGTGTTTATTGCAAAGTTTATATTTGCTATTTTTCTTTATGACACATGCACAGATAAAAGTGTAACAACTCTTTCCACAGAGATAGTAAAGTAAGAAAGTTTTACCTAATCATGGCACTTCCTTCCTATAACATTAATATTGCCCTTGCTAGATTTAAAATTGCAAGAAGTTGAGTCTAACAAGTGGCCATTGAGATTGCCACCATGCAGAACTTTGTCGAATGTAAGCATGTGTTAAAGTGTTCCCTGGTCTGAGCCTCTTCTGGGCAGGTCAGCGTGTCTAAAGAGTGACGTGATGATCAGTATCTTTCAGGCATGGAACCTGGGAAATGTAGTAAATATGCTCTGTTTCAAGGACTTCCTGGAGCTGCCTTGATTCCTTTACTTCCTGAGCTTATTGGCCTTCCCATTATAAAACATTTTCCTAAAACATCCTGTTGTTTCACTTCCTGCTAAACAGTTTCTTAAAGCATCTGGGTGTCTCATATCACTTTTCACTTCCTAAGTCTTATTGGGCTTCCCCTAAAAATGGGAGAATTTAAT